AGGTGAGAGCGGGCGGGAGCGGCCCCGCCGCCATGTCGGGCCCCGCCGGGCCGCGGGTGCGGGGGGTGCGGGCAGAGCCCCCGCCGCGGCGAGATGGCGATCGGCACCGCGGGGCTGCCCCGGAGGCCGCGGCCGCGCTGCGGCCGGAGCTGCTCGAGGGGATGCGGCGCTCGTCTCGGAGCCGTGGGGAGAGCCGTGCTCGTGGGGCCGGTTCCGGGCACGGGGGGACGGGTCCCGGCCGTGGGGTGAACCCCTGGGGCTAATCCCGGTGGTGGGGTGAGGCCGGGCCCCGGAGTGAACCCTGGCCGTGAGGTGAGCCTCAGGCGTGGGACGAAGCCCAGCCGAGGGGCAGAGCCCGGCCGTGGGGTGAATCCCAGGCTGGAGGTGAACCTCAGCCCCGGGACTCATCCCAGCCGTGGGGTGGTCCGTGGCCCTGGGGTGAATTCCGGCCACGGGGCCAAGGCTTGGCCCCAATCCCCTCCACGTGCCGTGCTGGGATCTCGGCCCGGCAGCAGCGCCTTTGGGGTGAGGGGGTGCTCGGGGTCAGGCTGATTTGGGGAGACGCCTTTTGCCGCTGGTTTCTCCGTGGCTTTCTCCGCAGCAGTTCCGTAGGAGGTGGAGGAGGATGACAGGAGTGTCACCTGCAATAAAAGCTGGGCTGCCAGCCCAGGCGTTGAAGGAAAGCAAGCACTTAAACGCTGAGTTTTGTGACAGTCTGGGGCTCGCTTGTTAAACTGCAGTGCTGCTGCTGGATGTGGTGGAGGGCTCTGTTGCTCCCAGCCACACCACGTTTTATCTGACCTTCTGGAAATCTTTAGAGCAGTGGCTTTTATCGGGCCCTTTTGGAAACTTTGAATAGGCTGAGTATTTGTTTTGGGGAGGTACGACTTCTCCTGAGTTGCCGTGCTGATAAAGATTTTACACGGCCTTGGTTAAGCAGGGAATTTCTGACAAATAAAAATGTGAAGCTCTGGTGCACGGCCTGACAGGGATTTCATCTCTGTGCTCTCCCTGTGAAAAACGGGGAAATGGTGCTGTCACACGTCCCTGTCCCGGAGGGCATCCATGGGCACAGGCTGGATGTGCCTGGAGTTTTGCTCTGTGCCACAGCCTGACCTGGTGTCCTGGACAGAGCCCTGCTCCCTCCCCACCAGGGAGGTTTTTCCAGCCTGATTCCAGAATCTGGCTCTGGAGGAGACGGACAGCGTGCGCTGCTGACACCTCACTGCTCCGTGCTCTGGAATAACGATCCAGCCTTGGCTCTCCCAAACAGAACTTGTGTTTGAGCTCCAGCCCGGGCATTAGCTCCCCTCCAGAGGTGACTCCAAAAGCCCTGCAGCGTGCCTGCTGGGCTTGACAGAACAGTGCAAATCCTGCAGTGCTCTGCTGCCTGCTAAGCAAACCCCGTTAAACACTTTCAGTTTTGTTCCCTTCTTACTATTAAAAGCGGGGGCTGCTTGCTCTGAGTGCTGAAGTACAGCACAATTTAATTTATTCCCTTTTATCTCTTCCTACAGGGGCTCTTTCTCATTTCGTTTGTGCATTTAATTGGCGGATAAAACTCAGGGTAAACGGCCCATAGGTGTTTTCCTGTGCAAAGTTTAGTTTCCTGCCACCCTTGGAAGGCCAGAGCCGAGCTGAGGGCTGAGGCCAGACTGCTGGACAAACTCACCCTGGCTGCAGCAGGGAAAAGGCAGAACTTTGCGGATCCCTGGCAGTGGCTGTGGAGTTTCCCACCCGTGACTGCCACCAGAGCTGTGCCAGCAGCAGTCCCAGCTGCAGGAGCAGTTATCTGCACAAGTGCACTCTTACTGATAGAGCTTGTTTGCCTTGCCTGGAGGGTGTTTCCCTGGCCCTGGGAGCAGAGCTGCTTCCAGGGATGGAGCCTGCTCAGGCATTCACCTGCCTGCCTGGGAAGGAAAGGGAAGGGAAGGGAAGGGAAAGCTGCTCCAGGTGTACTTGCCACGTGTGGCTCTCCTCTTCCCATCCAGAATCTGTAGGAGCCCCGTCACGTTTGCAGTGGGAATTCACTTGTGGAAGTAAGTGACGTTATGGGCGTTCTCTTTCCATGGGATGAAGCTTCCATTTTGTGGGAGAAACTGGGAGGATTTTGTTGTTTCCCATGAGCAGCCGTGGTTTTGCAAAAAGCCAGGCAGGCTTTTGACCAAGTTTAGCTTTCACACCAGTCCTGGGAGAAAGAAGCCAGAAAGTGATCCCAAGGTGTGTGTGTGTGTGTCTCTCTTATCAGGAGAATAAAAAAGCACCAGTGGAGAAAAATTAATTAATTTCCACACTGGGTAAGCCTCTACTTAAATTTAAATCTAAACCACCAAGAATTAAGACTTGGAGTTAGGTAGATCACAGCAGCCACTGGCTTTTTTCTTTGAGTCCATGTGCACAAATAGAGGGATGTATTTCTCCTTATTAAAACCCTCCCCAAGGTTTTAGGTGATAAAATTATCCATCAGTAACGTGCATAATTTCCAGGCAAACTTTCTTGAACCACCCCCAGAAATTCTGCTTCTATCAGCTGTAATCTGCTGGACACTTTTGGGTTACTTGGGCTTAAAAGGGGGCATAAATCCAAATAAGTGCTTACTTTTTACTTTCTCACTGATTAGTGGAAAGAATTTTGGGGAGTGCCAAAAGGGCTCTCGAGGCACGGGACTGTAACCTGATTTGCAGACTACTGAGAGAGCAAAAGTACCAGTGGAGCTTAGTTTTTTGGGAGCATAAGATGGCATTTGTGAAAACTTTAAAAAAAAAAAAAGTTAAAATATGTCTTAGGCATATTTAGATTCAGGAGGATTTGCTGTGGATTTAGTGCTTTAGAGCATTAAATGCTAAGCCTCTTGTAACATTTTTTTTTTTGGTCCAGATTCTGTGGTTCTCTTGATGGCAGGCTGTAATCAAGGCTTGGGTGCTTGTTGCAGTGACAGTGTGGTGTAACTTCACCTTCTGATTAATTCCCTGGGTTTCCAGGGATTTGTCTGTGCAGCTTCTCCATCTCACCTCTAATGATTTTAAAACAAAAAAAACCCCACACCTCCCTCAAAACAAAAACAAACACCAAACTGAAGTTACTCTAAGTAAAAGGGAGCACTGGAAGAAATTTTTCCTGGAATCCTGGCTAGAAGAACAGCTTTTGCAGTTTCTTGGGCATCTCCTGGCAGAGATGTAACTGGGCAGGTGCTCATGGAAAACAGGATGAAAGACAGGCAGAGATGCTCTGTGTGCTGTCCTGCACAGGGATAAAGGAACACATTTTATCCCTTGGAGGGGGGAGATGTCCAACCAGCACTTAGCAAAATGCTGCAGGATGAACAAAAAGCAGCTCCAAGTCAGGTGCAGTCAGGGATTTTGGGAGCTGCACCCAGAGCAGGGGAGAGAAAAGAAGCCCAGTGAGCTGCTGGGAGTAATTTAACCACAGTTTGTAGGTCGTGTGAGCTCACCCCTGCTCTGGCATTTCCTGAGGGCAATCATTAGTGCAGTTTGTGAGTGCACAGCACCATTTGTGCTCAGCATCCACCTGGGTGGGGTGTACTGTCTTCCCCATTCTGCTTGGTGGTTTTTCTGAGAAAGACAGAAGAAATGTGAATAAAAGGGCTGTGGGACTCCAGATGCAGACTTGCAGGGTATGAAGGCTGGGGTGTAAGTGCATGTTCTAAATTAAGATTTTCCCTTCAGCAGGAGTTCAGTTTTGGGTTCCCCCCCCTTGCAGCTGGAGGGTTGGGAAATTTCAGACGTGAAGAGACAAATCCTTCAGAACACCCTGCCACCATCCCTTGTTGATTTGAATCTGGATTATTCCTTACCCTAAACAAAGCATGAAGGGAAACCTCTTGTGCCCTCAGCCAGGAGCAGCAGGAATTTTTATGGAGGCAGCTCTTGTCCCTTGGGCCTTTCCCCTTCCCAGGTTCTGCACCCACCTGTACTCTCCAGGGGCTGTGCTGGGAACAGGAATGCAAAGCAAAGCTCCTTTATCCTGGCCACCAGCCCTTCCACAATTAGCTCTCCAGGTCAACAGCTCCCCACACTGCTGCTTCCAACAGCCTGGAAGGGAAGGCCCAATTAAACATTTTACACGATTTTTTTAAAGGCAGAAAAAGTTCCTGGGCTGAGGCAGCTGGGCTGGCTGCAGGAGAGGGAGGAATGTTTAGCCTTGTGTTGCTGCAGAGGCACCCTCCTCCTTGCTTTGCTGTCAAACACGGTTTTTTTAAGTTCACCAGATTCCAGGAGTACAAAGGAAAGTACAAAACCCATAAGCTTTTGGTCAAGCTGTTAATAATAATCAGGCTTTGTGGCTGGTGTTCAAGTTTGCTGTTTACCCTTTAGGGCAGCTGAATGAATTGCTCGGGTAGTTTTTCCCCTTGCTTTTCAGGAATGCTTCCATCTGAGTGAACATCTTTGTGCCTTCTAATCACAAATTAGTTTTGCTTTCTTTCTATTTTTTTTTTTCTTCCTAAGAAATCAATCTAAAGGCCCTTTCAAAAGGCTCTGGATTTAAGCACCATCTAAAGAGAGAGTGCTGAAGCCCTCCTTCTGCAGATTTGTAGCTCTTTTTTTTCCATAGGATGCTCCCAGGAAAACTGAGAAAGGGGGAAAAGCAGAAAACATACTTTGTATGCTTTGCTTCCTGTGTGAGCTCACAAGGGGGGATGTATGTCACCAAAAAAAAGTCTTTTATCCTGAGTCAGCCTTGACACGTGGAGAATATCCTTCGTTCTTCCCGCTTCTCTATAGCTCAAAATTCAATTTTTTTCTTCTTGTGTTACATTAATTTACAACTGGCCCTGGCAATGGGAAAGAGCTAACTCAGGATAAGCGGCTGCCCAGGCAAAATTCCCACTTGAATTCCTTTCCTTGAATCCCTCTTTGTTCTGGAAGGTTAAGAGAGCAAAAGGAAAGCAGGCCCAGATGACTTCTCACACACCAGAACATTCCCAGGTACGTCTGCCCAGGCAAAATTCCCACTTGTGAACGCCTTTCCTTGAATCCCTTTTTGTTCTGGAAGGTTAAGAAAGCAAAAGGAAAGCAAGCCCAGATGACTTCTCACACACCAGAACATTCCCAGGTGCCAGGAAGAGCTGGCCTTACCTTTTTTTCCCCTCCATCCAAGTCACATCTTGCCACTGGGAGCAGGTCAGTCTCCAGGGACATGTCTGTACCTGTGCAGGGAGCCTCTTCCTCCTCCTCCTCAGTCTGGAGCAAAAGGCAGGGAAGGAGAGGAATTAGGAATGCTTGGAGTGCATGAGAAGCACATCTATTGAATATTTTGAGACCTGTGGACAGACCAGGAGGTTTGAGACTAGGTGGTTTTTTTTTTTGCAAGGTGTTTTCCTGCCTGCTCTAGGAACCCCCAGGTGCTTCCTGTGCAGGTAAAGGGGGAATAATTCAGTTTTAAGTCACTGGCCATTTATTTCGTGGCAGCTGCAGGTCTGAACAAAACAACCCTGGATGTGGGAAGATGACTATAGCTCACAAGTATTTTCTGCTTGGAAAATTACCTGGTTGAAAAGCTCAGGCTGTCAACAAGGCTCCAGCATTCCTGAATCCTTACCTGCCTCTTGACCTACCCACTGTGTCTGTGCTCTTCCTTTACTCTGCATTTCTGTACAGCAGGGGAGGTAGCACCAGGCCCTTTGGACTGCATTTTCTTCTTCAGCTTCCTTTCAGAGAGCTCTGTAATTAAGCTCTCACCTGCCAGTAGGTTAAGAAACAGCAGAAAACCAACCTGTTTGAAAAGCTACAGCAAAACTTGCCAAAGGTATTCCCTGCCTTTAGGTGAAATCCCTTCACGTGGCTGAACAGAGGAGCCCACACAAGCTGAGCCTCTTTTCTGGAGCAGGCAGCCCAGAGAAGCTGTGCCTGGATCCCTGGAAATGTCCAAGGCCAGGCTGGACAGGGCTTGGAGCAGCCTGGGATAGTGGAAGGTGTCCCTGCCCATGGCAGGGGATGGAACTGGATGGGTTTAAAGTTCCCTTCCAGCCCAAACCAGTGTGGGATTCTGTTTGGAAGTTTAAGTAAGGTGGAAATGCTCATGGGAAAGACTGGGATAATCAGATACAGAAGCAGCTGAACTATCTTTCAATATGCAAATAATATGCTTTGCTCAGGCTATTAGGCAAACTTTTTTTTTTTTTTAAATGCAAAGTACATTTAAACACACCCTCTGGAGAAGAGGTTTTATTCCTATAAACTGGGTTTTTTAACAGATCCCTTCTCTCTTCTCTGAGCATACAAGCCCAGCTACTTTGAGCACTAGTGCAGCATCCTGTGGCCTGTTCAGGCTGAAAAGGCACATTTATTGTGCCAGTGATTGCAAAACAGTTTCCACTATCAGTGTGTGCTTTTTCCTTAGGCTTTTTTTTTTTCTTTTTCTCCTCCTTCCTTTTAAAATCTTGAGCTCTGACTCATCCAAACTCACCTGTGGTTGAACAAGGCAAGCCTTGTAACCCTAAAGCTGTTTGAATTCAGTTTTTCAGTGGCAGATTTCTTTGGATTGTTGAGGCAGAGTAACTGAAGTGTTGCTGGGCTTTGCTTATTTTGTGGAAGTGCTGGCAGTCTCCCACTGAAAAGGGAAGATGTCACCGTGGCTGTGGAAATAATCTCATTTCTTTCCTCCTAGCCCAAACTTTGCTTTGAAGGATGAAAAAGTATTGATGATTCCAGCTTGGTATCTTAGGCTTGCTTCATTGAGAAGACCTCAATGTGCATGGATTCGTAATTCCTTGTGTAGTTTTGCTCAAAAACGAGGTCAATAGCTGACTCCTCTCCAGGTATTGATCCTGAGGAGCTGAGTGAGGCACGGTGCTGGCTCTCAGCACAGCCTGAGCAGGTCTGGGTCATTTCGGAGTGACTGAATGGGTGTAAATCAGCCTCGTCAGCAGAGCAGCCCTTCCCCTCTCAGCTCAGAGGCACACTGGCACACCACAGCCCTGCCAGCTCCCTCTGCCCGTGCTGTTGGCAGTTCTGTGTCCCCCCAATCCCAGGAAAACTCCCTGCTTTAAGCTGCAGCCATACTTGGCTGCTTCTCTGCCATGCCCGCAGCCTGGGCCGGTGTTTTGTCTTGATCCAGCGCTGGCTCCTTCCTTCCCCACACTCCCGGTGACTTCAGCTCCTAATCCTTTAAGCCACTCTGTCCTGGATCTCATTAGAAGCCCAGCACTCCCCAGGGGATGGAGCAGCATTGCAAATGGGTCATTTCTCTGAAACAGTGCAAGATACTTGTGTAAATAAATAAGCACGCTGTTTAAACCAGCCCTTTGGGGGCTTCTGATGACATTTATTTACAGGCTGGCTGCTGGGAACGCTTCTTGCCCTACAGTGGCCCCTTGCATGCATTTCTGGTTAAGCAGAGCCTTGTTTTGGGGAGCAGCCTGCCCTGTGAAGCAGCTCTGGAAGCACAAAGGGTAAAAGGCACCTGCAGACACAGTGAGCTGATGTGGCTATCCAGGAGTTGTCATGCACTCTTCTGAGAGGTAACAGGCTGCTTCCAGCAGGGAGGAACTCTTCCTTTGCAGTGAGGAGTGACTCTTAAGCAAGCACAGCAATAAAAAGCAGCTGTGTAGGGTTTCCATGCAGTAAATAGTTCAGCTGGTCCTGTAAGTGGGGGCGTGACACGGAGGAAGAGGAAGGGTGGAAACCTGGATATACTTGTGTTACCTGTGATTTAAGAAAAGGCTGCTTCATTTAGAGGAGGTGAGGGAATGAGGGGAATAACTAGTGGGTGTGTGTCAGTGGGACAATTAGCATTTCCATCAAGTGAGTGCCAGTTGGCTCTGGAATTAATCAAACACAGCTCGTTCCCTCCCTTCCCACTCCTCCCCTTGGCTTTTGCTCTTTGCTTCTGACTTGTCTGTGCTTCTCTGGGCTCAGAGAGATAACGTGGAGCCCCCTGGGACCCCAGCACCACTGAATTTACTGCCAGCTGCAGGTTCCTGGTTACCTCTTACCTTTCCCTAGTCCCAGCTTGAATTCCCTTGTGCTCTGTGTCAGACTTCCTTAGGGATTCTTTCAAATCTCCCCAAACATTGTTTTGGAATTGTTTGAGGGATTATTTTTTTTTTAATTAAAAAAACATGATGAGGCATTTATATTTGATTCCCTGCTAATCTCTACCCCAGTCAGGGTACTTGGAATAAGAAGCTGGAAAGACACAGTACCTGGGAGGGCAGACTCAGGGTGCTCCTTGAATTCTTGGAGAGGCAGTGTACACAGAGGTGGTTGGACACAGTCCTGCAGGAAAGCACCACAACAAAAGCTCAGATCCATGCTGAAGACCACCAGAATTCCCCATTCCCCAATATTTTCTTGCTGATTTACACACCCCAGCCCTGGCAGGTTTCTTTGAATCCCCTCACCATACCCTTGAACAATCAGCTGATTTTCCTGCCCCACAGAGGAGGAAACCCAGTTTTTGTGCCTGTGCCTATTGGCAGCCCGAAATGGGGAAACTTTTGCCACACTGTCCCACCCCAGAAGCAGAGCAGACAAGCAGCCTCTGCAGCCACTCAGGCCTGACTCCAAAGCACAGAAATGGCCATGGAGATGAAGAAGAGACACAGAGGGTGCTGTTTGGGAGCTCCCAGCCCGGCCGCCCGGCGTCGGACAACGTGTGCGCGCACACGCGCGCGCCCCGGCAGCCAGCACGCGCCTAATTCCTGGGAGGGATCACCAGATGGGAGGGGATGGACACTCAGCTGTGCTCACAGGAAGGAAGAGCCACTCAGGCCTGGCTGCTGGATGGCTTCCAAAATGTTTTTTGGCAGCTTGACTCAGCCATGTGCAGAGGCTGGGGGAAAAAAGGAGAGGATCACAAAGAATGTCACAGGGCTGCAGCAGGAGGCAGGCACAGCTCTTCTCCATTTGCCTCCTCATTTAGGCACTGAGGTATCAAACACCTTTTGGGCACTGTAATTTAAGAAATGCACCTTCTACACTCTTTGGGGAAGGGAATGTGTGCTTGAAAGCCAGAAGTTCCTGTTGTTTGCTGCCCAAAAAAATAATTTCTTCATATGAAAAGCCTCTGCTGCAACCCAGTAGCTCAGCCTTTGCTGTCTGACACTCTTCACACCTTCAGCCGCGTTCCATTACTCATTTCTTTTCTCCAGGCTTCAAATGATAGCCAGCATGCCTCATACACAAAGACAGCCCAGCAAATAAAACAGCATAAAACTCCAAAAGTCCAAGGAAAAGGCAGGCACAGACCTAAACACAGTACCTGCCCTTGGTCCTTTTATATCCACCTCAGAGAGCTGCTTAGGCTCACCCAGGACCACACGTAGGGTTACAGCTGAGTAATCCTGCTCTGCCAGTCCCCTCTGGGTTTTTTTGGACCAAAAGAGTTCCATTAGGAACCCCCAGAGTTTAAATATTGTTCTTACTAACACACTGATATCCTCATCTCCAGGTTTTCTGTAATTGACACAAAACGAGGAAGAGATTCTGTGTTTAATTTACATGAAATCAGGGCTGGATCTGTAGCAGAGAGCAAGTTTTAGTAGCTTCAGAAGTTTTCCAAGGGGAGCCTTTAGGAGAAAAGCCTGCCAGAATTTGCACTGACGCGCATTGGATTTTGGAGCTCACAGATCCAGGGAACTCAGTGTGGTTCCATGAAGATTGAGCAAAACCAGGATGGGATTTCTGGATATTGTTTTAGTTCCAGGACAAGCAGAGTGAGAGATAGGAATGGCAGGAGCTGGGAGCCCAGGCAGAATCCATTTTTTGCCTAAGAACAAAATTACACACGGTGACTTTCAGGTCTTGCTCAACGTTGCTGTGATGCAGAAGGACAGAAAAAAAAAAGTGCATTTGATTTAGGTTTGTTTTCCCCTTTCTGTAACTGTGGCAATGACACTGCTGCCTGTTTGACTCACCACGATTTCAAAGCAATATTCAAGTGACTAACAGCTGAAAAATGCTCGTGTCCTTTGCCTCCCAGCTCAGGGCTCGCTCCTCTGGAAGGCCCTGATGGCCACACATTGCTCTGCATTGGCACAGCACTTCTGTATTTCAACATCATTTATTTGCCAAGGAGCAGTCCTGCAGCTTTCAGATGCTGTCAGGGGCTCACTGGGCATCTCTGGGCTGGTGTGGATGGGCTGGGAGTGCTCAGGAGGTCTCAGCACTGTGGTTTTAAGGACTTCAGCACAGAGCACTCACCCAAATCCTGGGTTTGGACAGCAGAGCTTGCCGTGCCTTGGGTCCAAGTGCTGCAGAGTTACAGATCAGTTTGAGCTCTGACAGATGAAGCAGCAAGGGCAGGTGGAACAGGGCTCCTGTGGCCTGGCAGGGCTGTGAGGAGTCTGTTCAAGTGCTGCCCACTTTCACACCAGCACCTGAAGAGCCAAGGTAAACCCAGCAAAACCCGAGCAGCAGAGATTTGGCACTCCCGAAGCGCAGCCTGCTTGCGTGGGGGGGAAAGGCTGTTCTGATTTTGGGGTTCTGGAGCAAAGATGGAAGCATTTCAGGTGCAATCCCGTGTCCTTAAGTAACTGGTTCCCTTCATGGCCCCGTGCCAGGCAGTGTGAGCACAGAATCCTCTTATCCCGTAGCTCTGCTGGCCGTGTGACCTCACCTGGAAGTGACAGGGGGCTATAATTAGATGTGGGGCTCACATTTGCCCCTGCAGTTTCCTTAGGCCTTGGTCAGGGAGGGAAGCAGCAGCCCTGTAACTGAGACCCTTGGCAGGGGGACAGCCCTGACAGCTCCTGCTCCGTGCCAGAATGCTGGAATGGCTGTCAGCATCAGCTGGAAAACCCTGCAGGACTTGACCCACGTAGAAGGAAAGTGGCATCTTTGGTTAGCTGGACTTGCTGAGCAGAACCCTCAGCTTGTTACCTCAAATTCGGGTTGGAGCTGTTTGAGGAGCTTCACACCTACTGCAGCTGGCTGGAGGAGAGTCTGGATGAGGGAAGAGCTGCATCCTCTGGAGCAGCTGCTTTGGATTTGGATGAAGTCAAAGCTCGTGGATGTTGTGTGTCTGGGGAGGAAAAGACCAGCAAACTTGGTTAACACTGTATTTTTAAATCACACACAGAGCCCTGCTCAGCACAACAGCCTAGGGAGGCATGCAATAAAACTTCTCCCTGTGTCCCCTGGCAAGTGGATGGTTTTTGAATGGGACATCAGAGCTCCCTTCTGACAGTCAGGACAATTGGATGAATTTGGTGTGCACAGGCTCATCCTTAGGCTTCTGATATTCACATTTTGCACTGGGCTGGAGCCCTTTGTGCCCCAGAACTGCTAAATGGGAGCTTTACCTGAGCTCTTTTTATGGCTCCTGGGCCATTAGGAATACAAAGGTCTTGACTGATCCCGAGCATGAAAAAGCACAGAACACAAAAGCTGGATAGTTAATGGGGAAATGAAGCTAATTCTCCCTCAGACTGCAATTTGGAGCAGTGGAGTAGTGAGACTTTGTAAGTAGAAGTTAAGAGCCTTCCCTTCAATTCCTATCTGCCTGTACAAGCTATAGGAGGGAGCAATCTGGGAACAGCAGAATGCTTCTGATCTTGTCTGCAGGTTCTGCACAGAGCCAACAGCTCCGTGGGTTATGGGGGATAAACTGGGAAAGCCAGCAGGTGACTGCAGAAACCCCAACTTCCTAGGAAGAAATGCTCTTCTCCATCCCAGAATTCTGCCTGCTTCCAACCCCACTGCGCATAAACTCTGGGACGTGGTGTTGCAGGGTACCCCTGGGAAAGGTCAGCTCGTGGCAGGACAGAAAGGAAGGAATGCTGTGCAGTAACAGTCAGTTGTGGTGGTCTTTCAGACTAACAGGGATGCCAAAGGAAAAATATGATCCTCCAGATCCTCGCAGAATTTACACCATCATGTCGGCGGAAGAGGTGGCCAACGGGAAGAAGTCGCACTGGGCTGAATTAGAGATCTCGGGTGAGTTGGTTTGGGGTTGAAATTCCCACAGCCAGTGCCCTAGACCACTCCAGATCCAGAGGGGGTCCAGACTGAAGAGGTGTTTCAGTTCCTTGCTTTCCTCTTGCAGGGAGAGTGCGGAGCTTAAGCACGTCGCTGTGGTCGCTGACACACCTGACTGCTCTGCACCTCAATGACAACAACCTTACTCGCATTCCACCTGATATTGCCAAGCTTCACAATCTGGTTTACCTGGATCTGTCATCCAACAAACTCAGAAGTTTACCAGCAGAACTAGGAAACATGGTGTCTCTCAGGTGAGGGGAATTATTCTGGTTCACTTCACAAAAAGTCTCTAGCGTGGGATCGGGACCGAGAGTTTCAGTTTGTTTCCCGTGCCTGTATTTCAAATAATTCTGAAAAACTCCAGATTGGTGCAGAGCTTTGGTTCTGATAATTACTTCTGGGTTCACTGGCCTTTTTTTCTGATTGTTGATATATCACTGTTTCCATCCCTGGTTTCTTCTTGGGCTTTGTGGCTCTTTTCCCCCTCATGGATGTATTTCAGTCGTGCTTTGACACGGGAAGATTGGCATATCTTTCCTTAATAAAACTCAGGGTGAAAAGTGTTCTCCTTGAGGACAAGCAGTGTACAGCACCTTAGGAGTTTCTTCTGCAGTAATACTCACCCAGAGTGTTTTTGCATTTGCTGCAGGGAATTGCTTTTAAATAACAATCTGTTACGGGTTTTGCCTTATGAACTTGGACGGCTCTTCCAGCTGCAAACCCTGGGTTTGAAAGGTGAGCTCTTCCCAGTTCCATATTCTCATGAATTCTCGGGAATCTGAGGGGGGACTGGCCTCAAAATCTTCCTCTATTTCCTGTAGGTTTTCTTACAGGTTATTTTAAGCATTAAGTTGGTAGCAAAAATGACCAGGCAGTTGGGAGAAAAATGCTTCTCTTTCTTAATGCTGCTAAACTTCCTCAGGAGCTCATTTCAAATCCACAGTCAGGGAAATAAACCCTTTAACCTGCTGAGTTAATTTGTCTGTTCTCTTTCTGGGAGATTTTCTTTGGGTGGAAAGCCTCAAGAAAGGCAGGCAGCTGATCCCCCTGCTGTTGTTTTGTGCTGTTGGCAGGCAATCCTTTATCCCAAGATATTCTCAGCCTCTACCAGGATCCAGACGGAACCCGAAAGCTACTGAACTACATGCTTGACAATCTAGCAGGTACAGCCCTGGGGATGTGGTGCACAAAGGCTTTAAAAGTAGGATTTGCTGTTAAAACAGGACTGTGAACCACTGGAGGGAGAGTATTCCTTCCCTGCTGTAGTGTTTTTGGCAGGTGGCTCCAGTCACATCCCAAAACACACCCTCACACCCGGTGGAAGAGGCTGACGTGTACTGTCTAAGGGTTCCCAGTGTTACAGCCACGTGTTCTCCCTGTTCTGTCTGAAACCCTTCAATTACCCACCTTGCTGAAGCCATTTTGGTTCTCCCCACCAGAAATAATCATTTGAATGCAAGCAGAATGTCAAATTTAGCTCGAGAAACACCGAAGCCATTAAGAACATCCAGTACCTGCCCTCAGTCCTGCTGTAACTGAGCCTTCTGCTTTGCCACTCCATGTCTCCTAAGTTAGGGCACTGCAGGAATGATGGATGCAGGGCAAGGTTCCTGGAGAAGGCATGGCTGAACCATGCCAGGATTTACCCCTCCTTCTTCAGCAGATTATTCCATGTGCAGGAATATTTCAGTAGTGCTTCTGAATCTGAAAAGAAGAGACAAAAATAGTCACAAATCTTACAAATGACAATTTTTTTCCCTTTTAAATGATTTTTGCCTCCCCTAAAGACTCGGGGAGTTGGGGATGCAAAACACATTATTGTTCAGTCATCACTTTGACTTAGGAACTGTAACTTACAAATAGAAACTCTGAATCAATCACTGGTTTAATTTTTTTGCAGTTCATCCAGAGCAGCTGCCTCCAAGGCCATGGATTACTTTAAAAGAACGAGACCAAATCCTGCCCTCAGGTAAATCTGTGTTCACACTGGGAAACTTAGCCTGGGCTTCCTTTTCCTGCATCAGAGTGAAAACAGCAATTTGTTCATTTGTACTAGAAAAATTACCTGTGCTGTAAATACCATTTTTGGCATGCTGGGCATTTCTTTTCCACGTTGGGCTTTGTCACAGCTCTTCCAGCCACTCTTGCCCAAGCCAAAGAGACAATCTCCAGAGGCTGACAACCTTTCCTTTTCTCTCTCTCCTTGCAGCTTCATTTACAGTCATGTGTTACAATGTGTTGTGTGATAAATACGCCACCAGGCAGCTCTACGGCTACTGCCCCTCCTGGGCACTCAACTGGGAATACAGGAAAAAGGGAATCATGGAAGAAATAGTCAACTGTGATGCAGACATCATTAGTCTTCAGGTAAGAAAACATAACTGCATTTTCCATCAGAAACAGAAAACATCAATCTCCACCTTTAGGATTAAATGTTCCCTTGGGAGCACCGTAGTGCTCCATAGCAAATTCCAGGTCTTCCCAATGCAAGCTGTGTATCAGTATTCCAGTGTCAGACACATCAGGTGTGGTCTGCTGCTCTTCAAAACAGACCTGTCACTTTGCCTGTGGGAGGGATTCCAGGAAATCCAGGAATGCACATCCATTCCCAGCAGGCCGTTAGTCTAGGAAGGGACATGGAACTGCGCAGCTTTTCTGCCTGCAAGCCCGGGCAGGCACAAGGAAGGGTTTCCTTCACTTCTTCAGGCACAAGGAAGGGTTTCCTTCACTTCTTTTCCTCACTTCACCTGAGGTGTTTGTGTACAATTGCAGGAAGTGGAAACGGAGCAATACTTCACCCTTTTCCTGCCGGCCTTGAAAGAACGGGGATATGACGGCTTCTTTTCTCCAAAGTCACGTGCCAAAATCATGTCGGAGCAGGAGAAAAAACACGTGGATGGCTGCGCCATATTCTTCAAAACGGAAAAGTAAGGGCAGCAGCAGCTTCTGAAATCCACACTAAAACCTCAGAACAGCTCCCAGTAATTAGGATGGAGGTTTCCCAAAGCCTGAGCTGCCTCTCGGGGTTTCCGCTGCTTCCAGAAAGAAAAACGCAGCTCTCGGGTCGGGTCTAGAACCAGCCGGAGTGGTTTGGAAGAGAGGGAGCCTGTGGGAGCAGACAGGGATGGGGACACTGCCACGGGGGCAGTGTCACAGCTGCTCACTGGGGTTCTCTCCCCGTCGCCCAGGTTCACTCTGGTGCAGAAGCACACGGTGGAGTTCAACCAGGTGGCCATGGCCAACTCGGAGGGCTCGGAAGCCATGTTGAACAGAGTGATGACCAAGGACAACATCGGGGTCGCCGTGGTGTTGGAGGTGCACAAGGAATTATTTGGAGCAAGTGAGTATGACTGTGGTGTCCTCGCTGCTGCTCAGCTCCACAGACAGGCACGAGTTGTTCCTAGGTGATCCATGCTGTTCCCCTTGGTGGTGCAGCCCATGGGCGGCTCAGACAGGCACAGAGGATGTGGTCTGGTTGTGCTCACAGCAAGATGCCCAGCATTTGCTTTTCTCCTCTGAGACTTTTATCCCTGCTTACTTACTCTGTTACATTCTGCTTGAGCAGCTCAGCCTTCCCAAGGTCACTGTGTTTACACACATTTGCTCTTACCAGTAGTTGGCAACAATGTTCAACTTCTATTTTCAACTCTCTTTTCCTCCCCTGGATTGACTCCTTCCACCCTCCCCCAGGGATTAGATGTCAGTGCTAATGTACCGATGTGGAAGGAGATTATCAGGTATCTTTTCCTGCCTCTTGATTGACTGACTGTCACATTTTCATTAAGTATGATCAGATGCAGCAGACAATTCCAGCGCAGGTAAAACTGCCACCCTGCTCTGTCTGCATGGCTGGGATTTTCATGGCTTCAGAGGAGGCTGGAAGGAGCTCCCTGGGCATTTCAGCAGGTTTTAGCAATGAAAGCACACCCATCTGCTGGTGTGTCTGACCCTGAGCAGCTACACCCCGAGTGTGAACAAGCAGCAACACAGAAACCTTTCCCTGCTGCCGTTGTTTGTCCAGGTATGAAATCACTCCACGTGGACAAGCAGCTGCTCATCGTGGCCAATGCCCACATGCACTGGGACCCCGAATACTCGGACGTGAAACTCATCCAGACCATGATGTTCGTCTCAGAGCTGAAAAACATCCTGGAGAAAGCCTCGAGCAGGCCCAGTAGCCCGACAGCAGATCCCAACTCTATCCCTCTGGTGCTGTGCGCGGATCTCAACTCGCTGCCCGATTCAGGTAAGGCTGGGTGTTGGGCCTGACTTTTAACATACCTTCTTAGGATGTTAGGGTCCACTTTTTCCTCTGAAGGCGAGGGGGTTGTTTTGCACTGCCCAGGGAAGGTGTGGGTGAGAGCTTTGCTAGGAACAGCTGCCTTTGGAAATCTGGCTGAAGAGACCGCGAGCCCTCCGGCTTTTCGTGGGAAAAACGAGTCGCCTGCTTTTTTTTTTGAGTCGCCTGCTTTTCGTGCTCGGCTGGACACTCCAGGAGAGCTGGCTGCACCTACAAAAGTGTAGAAAAGCACAGTTAGCTCTTAAATAAGTCATTATTAAATAAACACCCGTGCATGAAGCAGCAATAAGAAGGTAGGAAAGAAGCGAGTTCCTGATGAAGACTTTCTAAGGGGAGGGGTTTGCTTTGCTAACTCTGAACTCATGGTGCCTTAGTGGTTTACAATATCCCAAAGCTGCCTTTGCAAGCAGCTCCCTAAACCCTTCCCCTTACCCCCAGGTGTCGTGGAATACCTGAGCAACGGCATAGTAGCTGACAACCACAAGGACTTCAAGGAGCTGCGCTACAACGAGTGTCTGATGAACTTCAGCGGCAACGGCAAGAACGGAGCCTCGGAGGGCCGCATCACGCACGGCTTCCAGCTCAAGAGCGCCTACGAGAACAACCTGATGCCTTACACCAATTACACTTTCGACTTCAAAGTAAGCCCCGCTCCCCGGGAGGGCTCCCCGGGAGGCTGTCGCTGCCCTGACCTCGGCTGCCCCCGGGCCGATGAGCACGGGATGCGGGGCGGGATGGGATGCGGGGCGGCGCCTGCCCTCACTGCGCTCTCTCTCCCTCTCTCCTCAGGGTGTGATTGACTACATTTTCTACTCCAACACTCACATGAACGTGCTGGGCGTGCTGGGCCCCTTGGACCCTCAGTGGCTGGTGGACAACAACATCACGGGCTGCCCGCACCCGCACATCCCCTCGGACCACTTCTCGCTGCTGACGCAGCTGGAGCTGCAGCCGCCGCTGCTGCCGCTGGTGAACGGCGTGCACCTGCCCTCCCGCAGGTAGTGCAGCCCCACGGGCTGCCCCACGGACCTGTACACTTGTAAATCCCTCTAGATAGGAGTGAAGTATGGCCAACCTTCAGCTGCTTCTTCGAGCTCCTTTCCTTATGTGTTTGATGAGAGATTTTTTGCACATTTTTGGTGCATATTGGTATCATTTGGCACTAGGGCTGGAACCAAAGTATTATTCCCCTTTCCAGGTTTTTAATTTAATTTTTGTTTGTGTTTTGTTTTGGGGTTTTTTGGTTTTTTTTTTTAATTTTACTTTAAACTGGCTTTTTCTTTTCAGTAGGAAGCTGCACTTCTAAATGGACAAAAGAGATTTAAAAACTTGCATTTAACATATTTCAAGGTAATGCTTTTTTCCAGAACGTGGCAAATTGAGCCAACCTTTTAGGAGAAAGAAAAAACAAAACTAGAGATGCTTGTTTTGTAGGAAGAACGTTAGAAATACTGTTTGAATCCAAAATGGAGACTCAACTCTGCATCTGACATAAATTTTGCACATTAGCAAAGCACTTAATACCTGACTATAAACGATTGGCAGCGTGGCCCTGCCCCTCATCTCAATACTATCAGAAAACCAAAGACAGCCAAGTATCTGTGATCAAATTCGAGCTCTAAATCCTCCTGGTTCCAATTTGTTTGGGAGCTGTTGTCAGTCAGGGCTGAAGTAAAAAGCTGCTGGTTCCTTCCCAAATGTTAATGCTCTTTGGACGTGTTGGAAATCCTTGTTTTCTCTTTCCTTTTAATGCTCTGGGTGGCCAGTTCAAAACCTTGTGCCTCAAGAGGCATTAAACATGATGCAATTTTCTGGGGAAAAAAAACAAAAAAAAAAAACAAAAACAAACAAAAAAAACCTAAGTTGTTTGGCCACTTAATGTTTAAAAAAAAAGGCACAGTGATAGGAAAAGGTCGTGTCTGTGTTTTTAAGTTTTTCTTTATTCTGCTTTTTTGCTGCTATAAGATTTTCTTGAATTTCTATTTGAAACTTTTCATGCACTTTACTGTTTCTAGTCTCCAAATGTGATATTTTTAATAAATGAAAAAGATTTTCCATGATGTGAATGAAATTTTTAAGCAGATTGATAAGCCTATATTTATGTCTCATTCGTATACTTCAAAAAAAGTCCAATTTGAATTGTGAAATTAGTTTTAAATACAAAAGAGCCATCTTCTGTCTTGCAAAGCTGCCAAGTCAGGCTGTTCCTCTTTAATTAAACATTTCCTTGGTCACTTTATACACAGGAAATTTTCCACAGGGGGAAAAAAAAAAATCAATTGGACTTAGAGGAGAAACTATTCCCTGACTCTGATTGGGGGCCAGGGGAGGGGGTGGAGTGGGCCAGAAGGCAAAAATGGGTTCAGCAAAGTGACAACTCCCTTGGAAAAGTGCCTAAAAAATGGGGGTGTCATCTATGGTCTGGGATCAATTGGAAGTGATGGGAGCTGGGGAAAAGTCCTGCACAGCACTTGCTTTGTGCAAAAGCAAACCAAACCAAACAGAAAACAAAAAAGGGGAAAAAAAAAAAAAAAAGAAAGCCCTTTCAAGAGATGGATTTTCCTCTGGATGCAGGTATCTCTGTTGGAATATACCTCAGCATTCCCTACCTGGCCATGGCACATGGATTGGAGAGCACTGGAAAGTAGAATAGCATGAAAAACTTAATTTTGTGGACATTACCTTTCTGTATTCAGCTGCTGTATGTTTTTTGGGGAGTGGGGGGATGCTCTAACCTGCTCCCCTGTTCCTCCAGGCACGGTGGTCCCAGCGTGAGCAGTGTTTCCTAACCATACTTCACTCCCAATATTTTTGGAGCTGTTTGTATAAAATGGAATTTCCGATTCGCCCGCGATTGTCTATGAACTGCAGAGGAGCCCGTTTAGTAATAAAAATCCAAACCCAGCACCAATGTTTTGTAATGTGGGGGTGGGAGAGGACGGGGATGGGAAAACCCAAACCTTGGCAAACGTTGTAAGCTGCTCCAGCTGGATTTTCCTTGGCTTCCTAGCCATGGAAGTGTTCCGTTGCACAAAGGCGTTCCACTGGATTTTCTCGTCGCTCGTCGGTTTTTAACACAAAAATGGTTTTTTAACAGACATTGCACAAAAAAAACCCCCCAGTTTGGTTTATGTTTCAGTCAATGCACGTGTTTACCTGCCTCTCCTGTGCAGCTCCCTCCTGTTTTCCTCCTGGTTTTCCCTTCCCAGCAGGAGCAGTGAGGGGATGGTGCTTTTTTTCCCAGGCTCCGTTCCCACAATACCTGGAAAAAAGGCTCCAAGCCCTTCCCTGCTGCTCACTGCCTCTGTTTGCTTCCCCAAACACGGTGCCTGGTGTCCACTCCCCAGCGACAGCACTGCCTAAAGCCAGCAGAGAAAACAAAATCCAACACCCTTCTACAGGCAACTTTTTAAAACAACTCAGTCTGGTGAATCTGTCCGACACGGGGTTTTGTGTGTGTGTACATATATACATATATATATATATATAAAAAAAGAGAACTTTGTACAATGGAGCTGAAGATTTCTGCTTCCTTCTTTCACTGCAAGGAGACTGAACCTTACACAAGTTTGGTCACGCTCCCTCCCCTTCCCCCTTTGGTGTTCCAGGGTGACACAGATCCCAAGAGAACCTGGTGGGAACCACTTAATCCTCTCTGCCAAGCATCAGCCAAGAACTCGCTTCAATTAGAAATAATTTTAGGTGGAGATTATAAACCTCTAGATCCAGGTATGGCACAACCCCTCCCTGTGGGAATGGTGAAGGTGAGAGTGATCCCAGTGCTTGGAGTTCATCCATCCTCTTTGGAGGCTCCCACACCACCTTGTAGTGGTTACTTTGAGAGCTCAGGGGTTTTTTAAGTCAGATTTTTTTCTTGTGTGTTGCCTTGGCAGCCGGGAGGTCCCTGAAAAGGTGGAAGTGCACGTGGAGCAGCTGCAGTGTCACTCCTGGGCGTGCTTACACTGCAGTTTTGGGGGGATTCACACCCTGCTTCATGGGAATAGCAGCTTTGCTTTACATTTGGGAGCGTGTGGGGCTCTGGCATGAGGAAACACTGCTTGCCCTGGACCTTCAGGCAGCTGGGGAAAAGGAGGTCATCAAACCCCTGAACAACATCTCCCTTCCCTTTAAAAATTACTTTTTTTAAAAAATTTGCTCACCGTGGAGATGGGATATTGCTCACCCATGATGGCAAAGGCTAAACATCCACCTGTGTGCTCCCACATCCTTCTGGAGTCAACAAACAGCCCTTTTGAAACCATTCTTATCCTTCCTGTGGTTCCTAAGGAGCACCGGGCAGGAGGGAGGGGATACAGAGGGTGGGTGTTTCCCAGCATGCCACTGCCCAGGGACACATTTTTGGCATCTGGTGGCGGTGGGTGGGCAACACAAATTAGATTCCTGCAGACCTTAAACACCTCCTCCCAGAATGGCCCAAGCAGATTGCAACTAGGGATAATCCTGCACAGGGCCACAAGTCACACCTGTGTCACCTCAGTCCGTGTGGCCAAGGCACACTGATTGCTGTGCCAGGCTGGGAAATGGCACTCCACAGAAAGCCCCAGCCAGTCACAGGAAATTTCCCACTTCTGTGTTTCCACAGCCTGGAGCAGCAGCATACCCTATCCAACTCCTGCAGTTACCTGCTCCTGCCAGGAGCTGTCAGGAAAAGGCACCAAATCCCGGAGCAGAGCAAAGGCATCGTGTTCCGAAGCATCCTTGGCAAAGCAGCCAAAGGCTTCGCCGTGCCACAGCCCAGCCTACCTCCCCACCCCAAAAACCCCAATTTTTACACAAATCCAGGCAGAAAGAGCTGCCACAGCCGAGGGGGGGGAGCACATTCATCCTTTTATTGGTGCCACCGGGATGGTTGTGTGCGGGAACAGCGCAGGCACCCGAAAGGGAAGGAAGCAGCGAGTGCCTGAAGGGAAAGCAGGGAAAGGCTCCTGCCCGGAGCAGAGGAAAGGCCAGCATTGTGCCACTCAACCCAGCGTGTCTCAGGGCAGGGGGGTTGTGTCACTGCTGTCCCACGAGGGATTCATAGCCGTGGATTCCTGGGATGTGGCCAGTGGGAGGGACGGGGTGGGGGGCGTCCAAGGGGTCCGGCAGCACGGTGCTTCCCGCCGCAGCCGCGGCAGCGCTTTTTTGATGCCGTTCCTGCAGATTTTGTGGGAGGAAAGAAAGGAAACCGGGCGGGGTCAGGGGAAGGGATGGTCCTGCCAAGGTGTGGGGGATGTGTTTTCCAGCCTCTGGGCATCACATACCTCTGCATCAGCTTGTGGATGAGCAGCTGGATCCAGGGCGCCTCGGGGGTCACGCACACCCGCCTGTTCTTCTTCAGGGTGAGGCTGCAAGGCCACGAGGCCCCTCAGCCCCATGCACGTCCCTTCCCCAAAGCTTTCCTAACCCACAGAGAAAACCCCCCTGCTTCCTCGGCGTGAATATTTTGGGGCCTTGACCTGATGACCCTGAGCCACTCAGAGAGGGACCCCCTTGAAACTGGGACCAAGAGTCACCCCGACATTTATGGGCTTGCCCCCTCCATGTACTTTTACACCAGTACCCAAAGGAGCAATTTGCAGGGATTGGTTCCCAGGCTTTGCACTTACATGACCTCCTTCCTCCTGCAGTGAATGCCCGGCGGGGTAACGTCGATGGTGAGGATCAGCCCCAGGCTGACGACGTGGGCGGTGGATTTGATGCACTTGCACCTCATGTTGGTCAGCAGGCTCTCCAGCGACAGACCTGTGCCCCAGGGCAGCCCACACCAGGTCTCGGCCCCCCCGTGGGGGAGGCACATGGGGACACTATCCCCCTCCCCACTATCCCATCCCAGCCCTGACACCCCACGGGCTGCTGTTCGTGGGGTTTGCAGCAGGGCTAATCCCTCCCAGCACAGCCCCAAAGCTTCTTTTCCTGTATATGGAAGGGGTTTAGCTGCAGGGTTGGAAAACTTAGCCAGCATTTTATGAATCAAATCCACTGCCCACCCACCAAGAACCTGAGTTTTGTGGGGATCTGAAAAAGACGCAGCTTAAACCCAAGAGGCAAAACCCACCCTCTCCACCCCCAGTACCCCTCTCCAGCTTAGCCACAGGCTTTAAAAAGCAAGCTCAAAGACAGGCAAGAACCAAAACTGAAAGCACAGCAGCTAAAACCCACGCTCAGCCCCCTCTGGGACTCCCAATGCCCCTGTCCAGGCGTTTGGAGGGGCCACGGATGGACAGACACCCAAAGGCACTCACCGCCCGCCGGCACCGAGCTGCTCAGGAGCAGGAGCAGGGCCAGCGCCAGCAGCCGCATCCTCACCGCCCACCCCGAGCTGTGCCAGGGCTGCTTTATAGCCAGCCCCTCGCCCCAGGGGGGATTTCACAACCCCCTCTGGGGCTGGGAATTGGGAGGACAAAGGGGCTGCCCTATGCCTCAACTTCCCTGCCGTCCTTCCCCCCCGCTGCACGTGCTGCCTCCCCGCCACAAAAAGCGGAAAACGCCGCCGACACCTCCTCAAACCCGCCGTGATTTTGGCCAAAGGCTGCTGCCCCCCGTGCCTCCCACCCCAAGGCCCTGGCGTGCCATGTGAAAGGAGGCAAGGGACAGTGACAGAGGGCTGCCACTTTATTGGGTGGTGCCCAAAAGGGACACCCGGCGCATGGCTTCGGGATGGGAGAGGCTGGAAGCAGGGATGGGCATTTTTAAGGGTTTAAAGGCATGAAGAGGGGCTCAGGCAGAAGCATGCTCCCCTCTGGACTGGGGTAAGGCAACAGCAGGATGGGGAAGGGAGGCAGTTTTGGGCCCAGCACATCTGGCCGTGCCTCTGGCGGCAGCTTCCTCAGCGGGGAGCCTTTTTCTTCCTCCTGCCAAAAGCAGAAGGGGGAGCAATGTGTGAACAGAGGTTCCCACGGGATGCCCCTGGTGCTCAGGGGGAAAGGGGAGCTTACAGGTGAGGGAGGTCCTGCAAGAGTTTCCTCATCCAAGGCGTGTCGGGATCCACGCAGACCCTCTTCAGGCTCTTGAGCTTAACCCTAGAAAACACACGACCCTTCAGTCACGTCACTTCCCTTCCCACAAGGAAAACACGAAACCGCAGCAGGTCAGGGAGTCACTTACACCACCTCGGGGCGCCGGCAGCTGCTCCCCACGGGCCACACCTCGATGCTGCTGTACCTCTCCGGCGGGATGAAGGCTCGCGTGCTCTTCAGGCAGCGGCAGCTCAGGTTGCCGTTGGCTTCCAGGATTGCTGGAGGGGCACACGGCATCACCCCGCACACGGGCACACCCATCGTCCCACCGGCATCACCCACCCTCGGAGCCCGCACAACCCCCAGGGCCACCAGGGGAGGCTCACCTGCGTCCCCAGGGCGGTGGCACAGCAGCAGCACGGCCAGCAGCAGGGCTGCCCGCACAGCCATGCCTGCCCCAGCCCCGGGCCCCGCAGCATCCCTCTATTTGAGCTGGGAAATAGGAGAAGTGAGGCGGCACGGGAGGCGCCGGGGTCGCGGTGGTTTTGCCCGACCCCCCGTTGGGTTTGCGACGCTGCCGATAAAACGCGGCTTGGGGCTTGGCAAGGGGCCCGGCTTCCCGAAACCGGCTCCGCTTTCCCCTTCCTTTCTTGGTTGTTTCCTCCAGCTCTGCTCTTAGCACACACAGCCCCAGCAGCCCGGGGTGCTTTTCTGTCCTGCATGATCGGGTATGACTCATTTCTCCTACAGCCACTTTGTCCCCCTGCAAGGCACGGCGCAGCAGCGCCCCGGTGACATTTGCTTTTGAGTTTTTTTACCCCAAAACTCCCATTCCTGACATATTTCCTTATTGGCCTGGATGGGTTTTTAAAGCCTTACAGCCACCTATAAATCCCAGCTCCATCACTTGGATGTGGAGCACTTTGGCTGGTTTGTCCCATCACGCCACCACCAATATCGTGCCCTCAAATCACCACCAGGGGAGATAACAGGTTATGATGGGAAGGACCCCTGACAAGAGGGAATGGCTTCCTAATGCCAAAGGGCAGGGTTAGATGGGATACTGGGGGAAAATTCTTCCCTGTGATGGTGGGGAGGCCCTAACACAGGGTGCCCAGACAAGCTGTGGCTGCCCCTGGATCCCTGGAGACATCCAACACCAGGCTGGACAGAGCTTGAAACAACCTGGGATAGTGGAAGGTGTCCCTGCCCACAGCAGGGAGTGGGACTGGATGGGCTTTGAGGTCACTTCTAATCCAAGCTGTCCTACGATTCTATGTCAAACACAGCTTCAAAGCTAAGAGATCCAGGGAAAATACAACAGAAAGAAAAATCCCGAATTTTATTGGACTTGAGCTTCCAGAACAAGACAAGTCACATTGTGCCACACAACCCTCAGACACACACTCTGTTGCCGAGCACTTCACATGGAAAAAGTCACAAAGTCATTCCTAAAGAAGCAGGAGCAGCCCCTGACAGGGAACAGTTTCACAGTCCACAGGCAAGTAAATAAACAAAGGATTCATATTCACACTGCTCCAGGGACCAAGAGCAGGGGAGAATCCCCCCACAAACCTGCCACAGGGCTGGGGGAGCAGTGAGGCACCCTCCCCACAGCCACTGCCACCAGAGCCAGACGTGGAGCTTTTGGGAAGGGGAGGAAGACAGGGCCAAGTGAGGAGCAGCCAGGTCTGCACACCCGGGCATCATCTGCCAACCTGCCTCGGCTCTGGGCACCAACTTCCTTAACAGGAAACCTATTTTTTCTTCCTGTGAAAAGCAGAAGGAGGAGAAACGTGTGAACACAGAGGAAAGTGGGTCTGGGAGAGGAAGCTCCTGCCCCAGCCGAGGGAAGTCGCTGTCGTGTCCCCATGGCTCGCCAGGATGGCCACAAACCCAGCACAGGCACAGCACAGAAGGACAGCTTTCCCAGCATCAACACCCTACTGCACCTGCCACGAGCAAGCCCTGCTCCTGCCACTGCTCCCCTCATCCTGCTCCCCCAAACTGTTTTGGAAGTGCAGCACTGGGTGTAAGCCAGGGGTAGCCACAGATGGGTCACGTTGGGTTGAACGCTGCTTTGCACAGCAAAGTGTTGCCCCTCATGGCTTTGCAAGTGGGTCCTTTGGACAGCAGCAGCTCTCTGTGAGCTCCTGGGCCCACGAGAGCTTCCCAGAGCCACAGATGTGCTGGGATGCTGTCCAGGGACACCTGGGCCTGAGGAGTTTCCATCCAACAACTTACGTGCTGGCAATGCGCTTCAGCAGCTTCTTCACCCAGGGGGCTTCGGGATTCACACACACCTTCCCCGAGGTTCTTAACTTAATGCTGAAACACAAGGAGAGCTCCTGAGCATTCCTGTCCCCTCCAAAGGCAGGGATTCAAGCAGCCACCACTGATGGGGAGAGTCAGCTTTTGCTCACAGCTCCAAGGATTGCAGAAAGCTGCCAGAGACAGAGGAAGCCACTGCGTGGCTGGGAACAAGCAAGACTCAACACATTCCTAGGTGGAGCAGACACTTGAAGCACAGAACACTGCTCAAAGACAGTTTTTTTTTCCTGGAGATCCACAAATTTATCAACACCAAGCAGCTACAAAAATCTGGGAAAATGTGTTATGGCTCATGCTGCCTCAGTGTCTGAGGAAGTGCTTCCTCCAGGCTGCAAACACCCCTGCTCCAGCTCAAGGAAATCACGCTTTCCCCTGCTGGAGAGATTCCTTTAGGCCCTGGGGAGCTGCATTTCTGCTCCTGATGTCTTTCAGCAAGTAAGCTGGCGGCATTTTTGGGAAGGTTTAGTTTCCAGCGAGGCTGGAGAAGCGGGATGGTGGCAGCAGCAGAGCCCTCGGCACTCACATGATCTCCGTGCGCCTGCAGCTGCTGCCCACGGGCCTTATCTCAATGCTCTCGTATTTCTTGGGACTGATGTATTCCGAGGTTGTCCTGGCACACCTACAGCTCAGGTTCCCGTTCACCTCCAGGATGGCTGAGAGAGAGAGAGAAGGTGGCAGCTTACAGGCACGGACAGGCTGACAGGGATGCAGCAGCAGCTCCAGGAGCCAAAGGAAACTCCCCTTCCCGTGTTTTCACTGCAGGGAGCACGCCGAGAAGCTGCCACCTGCACCTCTACCCAAAAGCTGAACCAGAGCCCTGCAAAGGATGCTCGTGCTTTTCCCCTGGCAAACAACAAGGCAAGCCCTCACTGAACAGACAGCAGGATCCCAAGCTCCCCAGTGGCTCTGGGAGCAGGATGATGCCAGCCAAGGCACCCGGAGCTCACCTGGGTGGGCAGAGCGGGACATCAGCAGCAGCAGGAGCAGCAGCCACGGGAGCAGGGGGGCTCCCATCCTCAGGGAAGGCTCAGCCCCGCAGATGCAGCGCAGGAGCAGCACACAAACAGCTCTATTTATCAGGGAGGGTCACGCTCCGACACAGGCACGGAGTTCACACCTCAGCAGTCACACACGGAGCTGATGTCATTTCTCACAGCCCAGAAGCTCAGTGGTCAATATTTTTAACTAAACAGCCATTGGGACCGAGTGCGACGTTTGGATTCCCCACACATCTCCCCCACATCACCCCTCATTCCCTTGAGCATTCACCCCTCAGCCACAAAAAAAAAAAGCCCAGAATGAAAGCAGAGCCCAAGCCCCTGACTAAGCAGGGGGGATTTCAGCATGCTCAGACATTTACATATTTCTTTCTTGGGGCTATATTTTCCCCACGCTATTTTTGTTGCCTCTATCATCAGCAAAAACGCCTCAGGCCGCGCCAAGTAAAAACAATCACCATCTCCCTGCTTTGTGCTTCCACTCAAATCTTTCAAATTTCACACTTGGCTGGGTAACTCGCCCAGGATGGCCACAGGAGCACCCTGTGCCCTCAGGAGTAGGTGGGAAGGGGGCTTTGCCCTAAATAAATTCACCTAAAGTCAAGTCACCAGTCGGGAAGCAAAAGGGGAAGGGGATATGAGGCCAGGCAAGGAGGAAGGAAGAGGGCAGAAGAAAAGAGATGTGGTTGTGTGATAATGTTGTAATTTGGAGCTTTCAAATCACATCAACATTTTATATAGCTCTTACCAAAAGAGTAAATATTAAAAAAAGTCTTCCACTCAAACTCAAGCTGGGCATTTCTCTTGGAAAATCTCGGTTTTTTCCTCTGGGATGGGTCCAAAAGTCTTGTGAAGTGCTTGTCCAGGAGATGACTGGGGAGTTTAACTCCCTGTACACCAGGGTCACAGAGAGGCCAGGGACAATTTCCATGAGCTATTCCCAAAATCCTACAGAAAGAATGGGTGCCTTGCTGTCACAGCAGTGGAAGAGGAGACGGTCTTAAAACTGGGTTTTGTTTAACCCTTCCAGAGTTTTCAATTTCCTTGCAGAGACTTATTAGAAGGAACACAACCAAGGACTGGTTTTGCAGGAGTTGTGGCAGGAGTCTCTTGGAAAAAATGGTGAGAAAGGCAGCAACTTATCTGAGACACGACTGGTCACTTTCTGAAGTTCCTGACTACAAAATGATCCTGCTTTTTAGAGCTGGGAAAAAACAAGAGAAGTGAAAGCAACTTTCCCCAGAGAAGACTGAGCTGGAGCATTCAGCTGCTGGATGGAGGACTGGAGGAATCCAGCAGCATTCCTGGCAGTGCTTAATGAAATTGGTACAAGAAGAAAATTATCCCTGGACACATGCAACAAATGGATCACAAAGAGCCAGATCCTGTCCCTGATTTGTGGCCACAGGGCAGGTGTCCACCTCCTGCCTTGCCCTGGAAAGAAGCAGGAGCTACAGAAGCATCACTGGATGGATTTTGAGAGTGTCTGTGAACGGGCTGGGTGCTGTGATGGATGAGAAAGGTGTAAGTGATGAATTCTGGGCTGGTTTCTCAGAAGGAAAAGCCCCAGTCGTGGTGGTGCCTGGTATTTCTGCACAACAAGTGGTAATTTTGCAAAGGGAGAAGCAGGGTGAGGATGTGAGCTGTGACTGCACTTAAGCTGACTGCTTCCTGGATGCCAGGAATTCAGAAGAGTGGCCCTCAAGTAGGGATGTGTGGCGTCATCCAATCCAGCATCAACTGAAACACATCCAAAGCACCCTCACAGCTTCTCTGTTTTCTGCAGCAGCTGCCCCTGTGCAGGCAAGACTTAGATTTTAGTCATTTTTAATCTAATTCTTATTGGATTTTTGTAGTATTATTTTCACCTGTAATACATTTTAATCCTTCCTGTGGTACCTAAATCAGAGGACTCCAAAAAACAGTGGTGCAAGCAGCACCTAGAGGCCACATGGAAAACCTTTTCCGTGTTTACCAGGATGGGCAGACACTCAACCCTGACGTCAGTGCCGAGGAGATGCAGCTCTCCAGCCCTTCAGAGAGGATTCACAAGAGGCTGCATCACAAACATCTGCAGCAAACAAACCTCTCAAAGAGAATCACTTGAGAGAAAGTCATTTTTCAGCTTACCCCTCCTTTGCCCACAACTCACTCAGGGCTCCTTGCAGGAGAGGGAAAAAAACCAAAAAACCTGTGGGTTTTTTTTTTAAATTATCCCCCAAAAACCCCAACTGCAGTGAATCTTCACCACTGTGGTTTGTGGTCCATCACCTGCTTCAAAGATAAAGATGCTTCCTGCCCAAACCTGAGAAACCTGAAACCCACACATATTTCAGTGTCAACGTGAGAGCACCAGAATTAGCCAAAACCTAACG